TTATGAGAAATCTCTAAATAAAATCAAATATTTACTTTAATAACAGAATGGTAATAACTACGTGCCCGTTTCGAAGACAACACTTATATAAGCAACAGAAATAGTATTGTGAAGACATTAGAAAGTTAACCTACTGAGCACAAATATGATGTTAAATTCAGATTTGCTCAGATGATAGTGATCTGTACATCTGCTTTTCATTACTTTTGTTCTCACTGAAAAAATGAATGGAAAGATGAAGCTGAAGGTTTTGGCTGATGAGGTAGACTATTCAGACTAATGTTTGTTAAACTTATAATTCATTGCTGACTTAGTAGGATACATATATAGAAATCTAAAATGACTCTAAATTTATTGGTGTCAAAATTAAATTGAATTTCGCTACCAACCTATTACGGAAGTAATTATACACTTTAAATTTTGAGCTAGCCATAATTAATCTAGTCTTTCGATTTTTATGGTGACAATTAACATAACTGGCAAAGTATTTTAGTACACTGAAGTCTTGGCTACTAATAATCCGGTCATCCTAATGCATTTACGAACTATAAGTTCTTGTTTATACAAGCAATCCTATGCACATTGTGGATTTTTTTTCTGTAATGTTAAGTTTTCTACTTTATACTTAAGAACGTAATGTATTGACAATTTTACAATTCCAAAATCCTGGAACATTTCAGTTTCACTAAACAGTTTCGTAAAATGATTGTCTATCAATAGAGGGCATGAATGAAATTTATTGTCATGATGAAGAGGGGTTCGTGAGGATTATTTTAGTTTGTAATTGCTATTTGTCACAGATTGATCTTAGTTGGAGTACCATCGGAAGCCCGAGAGCACTGCACATCTATTTCACCCTAATATGGAATCTACTATGGCGAACATGAACAATTCTTGTGGTTTTGATTGGTTGATCTGACCATCTCCATATTTGTACTTCTCTCCTTATCTGCTTTTAATTAGTCACTCTGAATTGATTAGTGTCCAAAAGTCATTCTTTCATCTTGCATAATTTAATTGTCTTTATCATTTTAGCACAGTCTAATGAGAGCATCTATATAAAGCAAGGTTAGGCAAAACTTAAATGTTCACCTGTATGGAATCGGTGTACGGAGTTCCAACTGATTGTATGTTGAATACGTTTTTGAGCAAAAGACTGGATTGAAATTATGATAACCATTACACTAAAATGAACCAAACTACTAGTTTTTGTTTTTCTCTGGTCACTTAAACTTGAGGTAATTTTTTTCTCCTCACATAAATCGGAGACCATTGTATTTTATGGGCTATAGGAATTTATTTTACATTCATCTTTAAATAAATAAGACATAACAATAACAATATATTTCTGACATAGAACGTGTGCTTACTTTCATTAGCAAAGTTCTTGCAATAACAAACCGGTTCCCATATCCATATTAAACATTGCGAACTGGATAAATATTTTAACTTAGTCTACTAACCCTCGTCTACTGAGTAAATAAGAACTCGTGTTTTCAAAATCCAGTCCGACTTTCCTACTTTATGCTATGCTGTTGGTTGGCCTAGGAGCTAACATTAAAACTAAAATGTAACGGAATATAAACCAAGCCTTACGAGTGCTAATTTTATCCTAAATCATCAATGCATAAACGACGGGAACGATCAACAAAAATTATCAAAATCAAGCTTAAACATTCGATAAAATGACATACTGCAATGTTTTGGATGGAGTTTTGTTCTTTGAGCTGGATGACTTGTGCTCCTGATGTTGTTCAGAATAGCAATGAAAGCTCCACGACCAAACCAAATAATAATAATAATTATTATTATTATTAACAAGACGAAGTCCCCTACCATGCATCTTATCCACACAATTAATTGTGTTACTATTATATTGGTTATAAAGAATCATTCTGGCCGTTATTAGATAATCTTTCTTGTTTACAAATAACACAATTTTGAAGTATTTATGTCGTAACAGATGCAAAAGTTTGCCATTTTCAACATATAGCATTGTCAAATACAACCTTCACAAATTCCCATACTGATAACAATTATGTACATACTAGTGACTAGCTTGAAGATGGGTTTCATGGAGTTCTAGTGAGAAGTTGTGGCCAGTGCAGTCCAATACGTGTCGGGTGGAAACAGGTATCCACTTCAGACAATGAATAAAGGGTTGTACGACATCATGAATTGATTGGAGTTAGACATTAACATCGTTGAATGCCGGCTCAGTGGTCTAGAGGTTAAGCGTTCACGCGCGAAACCAAAGGTCCTTCATGGATGTACACTGCTGAGGAGTCCCATTCTAGGACGAAACGGTTGTTTAGTGCCTCCAGATTCTCAATAGCAATCTAGCCTAGATCGACTGATCATTTCAACTGTGAAAATACTACGATCTCCACACATCCCAGTACTGATAAATTCATTAATCCAGGCTTTATTTTACCCTTTGTAAAATATCACAATAATTATGGACTTATAAATTTAAAGCCTAATGATGAACTAATCCAAAACAATTGTTCGCTCAAATAATCTTTCTGTGAATATTTTATGGGGATTTTTAAACTGCGTAAATATATGAATTGATAAGAGTTAAAACATCTCAAAGCGACTACTCACCTCCAAGTTTTACATTTCCAACCCTCTGATTCAGAATGTTTGAGAGTCTTTCTGAGCTTGTTTGCTCTGAGGATTTTCGATTGCAATTGCTTAAGACCTATAGTTAATTAATCAATGCATCATTTGAAAATGTTTCTCGATTCATACCGTTATGTAAATATTACTTACTGAATACATTGTTTTATGATTTTAGAACTTGACTTTTGATCATACATTTTGCTAGTCGACATGCAATAAATAGTATAAAAAATTATTAAACTGCTAGGTACAGAATATCGTCAAATTGCATACTAATCTTTCAAGTACAAATTATTGTTTCCAAGTAACTGTTATGGTTTTCAGTCAGTGAAATAAAATAGAATGCCTGAAATTCCTAAGTAATTATTAATTTTCCTTAGTTGAAATACATTTTTAAGTTTGAGTCTTAAAAGAATTACTTTTCAATCGTGTTTCTGCTACCTATCGGTTAGCGTTAAAAACAACTATCTGTTCAACATCTGTAAATTTGATTGAAGAATTCATCATATAAGCATCTCGGATTTATTTGTGAATACGAATGATATTTCTTAAGTTGCGTACATCTTGCAATCATCATCCACTTTCTCATATTTATGTGCTATTAGTAGTTCGTGTAGAATAAGCCGCCATCTTGTCAATGTATTATTTCAAATTAATTGACCCAACAACATAGACGATATCGATAAAAAGGTTTAATCGAGGATTTCTAGTATGTCCTGACATTAGGTAATACTTAAGCCACAACTAACTAGCAGTCTTTCGTACACATGTGATAGTAATAATATGACATAATGGATCACCGAACACTAAGGCTACATTGGTATCTAGCTTCAGTTCATTTTGTATCAGTTGGACATAAAATTTATTGATTTTGTAAAGTTGTTTACTACGGACATCACTCACTGATCGATAAATTGTCATTCAATTCATATAAAAATTGTTGTTTGTGCGTTTGTTTTTCAAATGAAGTTCTAATTATCAAACTGATTACCATGTTATCTAATTCTCACTAATGGCAAAAAGATTAAATTTATTGTCACTACTTGGCTGTACCTACTAATCATCAGTACACAAAATATAAATATTTTCGAATAAACTATGCAAAAACTATTGTTCTACATTTAAAAGGTTTTCTCCATTATATTTAATATGTTTGTTGTGCTGACACCATCATAAGTCGAATACAGATTTACATTATTCACATATGTAATTGAATGAGCATTTCCTAATTACTTTAGTGACGGTAAGCAAGTATTTATCTGTGTGCTCGCATGCGCTTGGTGAGAAATGCTAAGAAAAATTATAATAACAACAATTATTATTTTTTAAGTTGATTCCAAATCAAAGAGAACGGAATTTTGATTCTTGAGTGCTATCAATCCATAAGTTCTTCATTATAATAAAAGTGATGGCTGAACAATCGTTGGTACATAGTTTTATATCAGAATGGGGGTTTGTGAAGATTGTAGTAATCTTAATAGTTGAATTCATAAGTCGATCTAAGTTAGACTATCATTGAAAACCTGGAAGCACTGGATGACTGTTTCATCCTGGTATGGGACTCCTCGGCAGTGTGCACCCATGATCCGCCACGCGGGACTCGAACCCTAGTGGCTAGCTTGAAGATGGGTTTCATGGAGTTCTAGTGAGACGTTGTGGCCAGTGCAGTCCAATACGTGTCGGGTGGAAACAGGTATCCACTTCAGACAATGAATAAAGGGTTGTACGACATCATGAATTGATTGGAGTTAGACATTAACATCGTTGAATGCCGGCTCAGTGGTCTAGAGGTTAAGCGTTCACGCGCGAAACCGAAGGTCCTGCGTTTCAGGTAGATTTTTCTTTCATAAGGGTTATAATATTAAAAATTATCATTAGTTAGTTTTCCACTGGTTCACGGGTTAGTGGTACAGAGTATAAGTAAATTGACCTGCTATCTCTTTAATGGAATTTCTAAGTTCGCATAATTAGCACATTTGTTTTCTGAATTGCTTTTCCACCGTTATGAGCTGACAATTTCGGCCGTCAATAGCTATCCTTTTGAACCAAATCTACTACTGCTGCTGTCTTTGATAGCGTTCATAATAATCAGGGCTCCATATCTCTAGTAATTATCACAATATAAATGAAAATCTATTTTAACAACTTCATTTGTGTTTTATGTGTTTCCCATTAGAGTTCTTCTTTTGTTTTCTGTTTTTCTATCTTATAACCGTCAATGCTTTTTCGTATTGTTTCGTTTGTTTTGATTTCTTCCTTTTTAATTTCAATTTTTAGTTGAAAAATCTATCTGAAACTATCAGATTTGTTTTACTGATGTAACATTTTACATTACCTTAATATTTACAATAAATTATGTTTGATTTTATGTTTAGCATTCAAATGGAAAGAATGTTTGTGAACCCTCATCTTCACCATATAAAAGAAATATGAGTCGTCCACTATGCGGAATAGCTTTGTTTGGTCCGAGTGAGTAATTTCTTTTTTTTAAGAATTTCGAATCCTATATAATCTGTAAACAGAATACGCCCAGTGAGACATAAAATAAGAAAGATTGGCTCTGCGAAGGGTTCTCTTTTCGAACAAGTCATGTTCCAAGATGTACAGTTGTAAATGTACACTTATTTTTCAAAATGATAATAATAACTAATAAAGATAATAAAATTTTGATAAATGATAATTCTGCCGAAACACATAACTATACGTGAAACAGTAGTTCGAAAAATAACGATTGGTCTAAAGAACGGTCCAATTATTGAGGAATAAACCTAAATTGGTTGGAAACCTCAACTCGTGGGATATCTGCGAAGATCAAAGACTTTGCAAGTCTGGAAAAAGAAAGGACTTTTCTAATGATAACATAACTAGTAATGACAACACACGATTGTGTGAATGACAGATCTTTAGTGTTATCAACAGTTTATCAAAAATCAAAATGGGAACTAAGAGCACACGAATGTGCAAAATATTTCATTAAGAAAAAGATTAAAAGAATACAAATAAATGAAAATGAGTATTACAGTGGTTGAAAGTTATCATAAAAATAAATATTACTTGCTGCCTACACCTGGTACCCTTCATAGAGGAAATAGGCTGCCCACTCGCATTCTCCATCCAACTCTATCCTGGACAGTCGTTCCCACTTGCTATTCATTCTTTTGATGTCTGCTTCCGATCCCCGAAGTAGTATGTTCTTCGGTCTTCCTTTGCTCCCTTTCCCTTGACGATTGCCTTGTGATGCAATATGTTGATTTCCTAAATGTATGTCCAATCCACTTTCAACGTCTGCATCACATCCTCCTCGTTCATCGATGCTGCTTCCCAGATACGTAAATGTTTCCACATCTTCCAGAGATTCTCAACCAAGTGAGGTTGAGTTGGTGTTCTCTGTGTTATATTTAAGGATCCTGCTTTTCCCCTTGTGTACGGTGAGGTGATGCAGAGGCTGCTGCCACACTAGTTGTCTCCATCTGCATTTGTTCTTGTGCATAGGACAGAAGAACCAGGTCATCTACGAAATCCAAATCGTCTAGTTCCACCCAACCTGTCCATTTTATTCCGTGTTTCCCACCTGATGTCGAGCTCTTCACAATCCAGTCAACTACCAGAAGAAAGAGGAAGGGAGGCAGCAAGCAGCCTTTCCTGACTCCGTTCCTCACTTGAAATGCATTTATCAGCTGTCCTCCATGCACCACATTGCAGTGTAGTCCGTCGTATGAATTCCGGGTGATGTTGACGATCTTCTCGGGTTCACCATAGTGTCGAAGGTGTTTTCATAAGGTTCTCCTATCCACACTGTCAAATGTTTTCTCATAATCAAGGAAGTTGATGTATAGTGACGAATTCCATCAAATTGATTGTTCGACGATGATCCGTAGTGACGCGATTTGGTCTGTGCACGGCCGATCCTCACAGAATCCAGTCTGTTGATCTCGAAGTTGGGTGTCTACTGAATCTTTTATCCGGTTCAGCAACACTCTGTTAGTAACTTTGCCTGGTACTGATAGTAGTGTGGTTCCTCTGTAGTTCTCACATCTGCTCAGATCTCCTTTGTTTGGTATCTTGATGAAATATTCTTTCTAGTCTGTCAGCACTTATTGTTCTTCTCAAATCTTCCTTAATAGAACGTGGAACATGTTTGCAGTTATTCCGATGTCTGACTTTAGTGCTTCGGCTGGTATATTGTCAGGTCCTGCCTCGGTTGGGGCACCACACACAAACCAAGTGACTTGTGTGGGGCATATGTATTCGGTGCCCCGTTGTACCAATATTTATGTGTTCAAATAAATATGTAATAAATAATTGTCAGGTCCTTCTGCTTTCTCACTCTTGATTTGTCTGATGGCCATCCTGATTTCTTCTATCGTTGGTGGAGTGATATGTATAAAAAGATCTGTAGGTGCTGCTTCGATATCCGGTAGATTTGTGGGATTATGGTCTAGTTCGCTATTAGTACTGCTATAATGATAGACCTAATCCTAAAATTGTAGATTTTTCATGATGTGACTACCTAATCTATGATATCTTCCGTGGAATCCTCATCATTACCTTCACTGACTTGTCGTACCGCAGGAATCAGCAGCATAACGTCTAGTGCTTTTGAAGAACACTTTTGGGCTAAAGATAGAATAATATATTTAATGTGAGTAAAGACAAGTTATGCAGACTGATCACATCTGCAAGGCTGGGCCATGCCATCTGATTGAATGAACGAATGTTCCCGCGTTCTCCATCGTTAACCTTCTCTTCGTGTCAATTGTTGAATATAAATCTTTTCAGTAATTATACCCTCGGCTTCAAAGGTCGTGTGGTTAGGGCCCAATGCCACTACAGATTCAATGAAACCGGTCTATTCAAGAGTTCCTCGAAGTGTTCCACCCTTCTGTTCTTGAATCTCAGTGATTGTCCTGCCTTCCTTGTTCTTGACCAATCTCTGATTTCATCGTTTCTTCGTCGTGTCATATAGTTGTTTCATATTTCTTTCTCTTGCAGCTTTTTCGCTGTCGTTGCTAGCTCTTCCACATATTTCTGCTTGTCGGCTCTAATGCTTCTGTTAACTTGCTTGTTCGCCTCTGTGTATTCAGCTTGTGCCTTGACTTTCTCTGTTCTGGTCCAGTTGTTGTTAGTTGATGTCCTCCTGTTCTTTCTTTTTTGAATTTTGTCGAGGGTTTCGATAGAGATCTATTCCTTATGATGATGCTTCTTGCGGCCCAGCACCTCCTGACACGTTGAAGTTAGTGCTTCTTTGATCCCTTTCCAGTTGTCCTCTATAGTAGTTTCTTCTGTCAGTAGATCCTGTAAGGTGTGGAACCTGATACCGAGATTTATCTTGAATTGGTTGAGTTTTTCAATATCTCGTAGAAAGGCTGTATTCAACCTTTGTAATGCTGTTTCTCCAGTTTTCTACGGGATGGTGTTACCGACCCCATCCCCAACCCCCCTCCTTTATGTGGGCTTGGGGTGGGCAGTAGCCCTAGAAGAGCTACAGGAGGAGTTAACAATAAATATAGTAAATTTAATAAGTGTATGTAAATAATTTAGGATATTGCATGACAAACTTCCATTATATCATACGCCTAGAAATTATTAAAAATAGAACTGTTTATTGAATATGAAGAAGTAGTACAAAGCGATACACAAAATATAAGTCGGATGAGATGACAATATTGACGGAGATTTCTGACTAACTTAACAGTAACAGTGACGTAAAATATATAAAGGCATGAAAACATTATTTTTACTAAGGAAACCGACGAAAATGCTGTTTTTGATAGCCCCAAGGTTCATTCTGAAGATAAACAAAGAACTATAATTGGAAAGGGAATGCTCAACGTGATAAGGATCATAGAAACAAAAACAAATTAGCTTTGCCTTAAGGTCTATAGAGAAGATAAGTAGAGAGCAGATGTCTGTGAGAGAAGAAAGAAGGGAATTGCGAGATATTGAGACTATGGTAGAAGAATGGATTTTACAAAGTTTTTTACGCAATGATGTTTTTATATATATGTAGCAAGTGCTTCGGCAATACTAACACGTAGATAATTGTTTTTTGAAGTCATCTACTTACCTTGTAGATGACTTTCAACGCAGAGCCGGTTTTCATTGAATGACGTACGCTTACAAGGTGTTCGATTATAGAACTTCTTATTAAGCCATTTCCTTCTGTTTTCAGTCAGGCGGGGTGATTTTTTGGATAAAATACACATCGGACGACCTACATACCTGGTTCCGCATGAACAGGTAAATTGATAGACTATTACTGAACTTTGTTTAGCTTGAGAACAATAATCCAAGGGTTTCTGCGAAGACTGCTCCATTGAGAGAGTTGGAAATTTCTCTATTCAGGATGCCTGTAGCTTTCAAATCGACGTGCATATACAAGATTTTCTTCAGTACGGCAGCTATCTGTGCGTTCGGAGGTCTGTGTTTTATGTTCTTGTTGATAAAATATTCTGTGGATCTCCTTTTTTGATAAGCATTTCTTTAGCAGCTTCAGTTCATTATCTATGACCTAGGGAATACATAAACTACGCTTTAAACTAATGGAGACCCACCTGTGAAAGCTTGATAGCTGGCCATTCCACGATGGTTCTGCGTAAATTGATATTCCTATAGTCCCATCTTACTTCCTTGTCATTTCAACACCAAGAAAGAGAATACTTTGCTTGTTTTTAACTTCTAATGTGAAATTTATTGATGGATAACAGTTATAAATGTCTATGAAAGATGCTTCAAATCATATTTATTGTCACAAACAATATAAACATCATCTATGTACTTTTCATACAGGTGTAAGCTGTCAAAAGTTGTTTTAAGTTGATTGTTTTCCAGACTGGCCATGAAAGAATCAGCTAGTAATGAACCAAATCGAGATCCCATTGCTATGTCATCCGTTTATATATAAATTACGTCCTTTTATGGAAATTGTACACTAAAAGTGCATTGTACTAGTAATTCTTTTAAACAGGATTTTGGCAGTCCGATATTAATTCCATTATCATCTATGTATTTGCAGATAAAGCTAATGGTTTCTGTAAATGGGACATTAGTGAATAGTGATTCGACATCAAATGGAAGGATAATTTTGCTACCTACATTCACTTCTTTTATGTGATCATTGAGTTTAAAAGTGTCATGTAGAGAGTGCATACAAAGACGTTTTCCGACGGTTTTCAGATCTCCCAGCCGCTTTTCTATAGAGTGATAAGCAAATTCGGACATATCAAGAACTGGTCGGAGAGACAAACCAAGCTTGTGTACTTTAGATAGACTATATAGTCGTGGTATTAATGGTCCTGTTGGTTTTATGTGCTCGTACATACATCTTCGTTAATTACAGCACCATTAGTCATTCTCTTAAGAATTTCATTTAGTTCGATGTTGTTTTTCTCAACCTTATCAAATATGCAGCTCGATTAGTCGCATAACATTCTGACCTGATATCTTTGTCTTAAATGTTTGTCTCTTCTTTGTTTGGGTGTTTCAGAATGTCCTGGATGTAGTTCAGCTGGTATCGAATAACTTATATCTCGTTTTAGTTGACAATTAGGTGATTTCACCACTAAGTGTTTGGAAAATAAAAGTATCCCATCAAGATCCATGAAAGTCTAACGATGAAAACAGTTTACGAATTTGACGTATGAGAGATAATTATTTATTTAACCAATATGAATGTAGGAAAAAATAAATGCAAAGGGGTCATAATAGTAAATGATTAATAAGAATAAAAGATCAGAAAAAGGTATCAAGAACTAATTACTGAGTATAAAGTATTGTATTAAGAGTATAGGATAACAGTAAAATGAAAGATTTCTCGTACAGCGTTTTTACGTAGAGTTCAGGTTTGAACAGCTCAATAGCTAAACCCTCTTTAGTTCACAACTGTTTTATTTGTACTCATTTCGATCCCAACTCTTTGACCGTATATATTGTTTAAAAGGATAAATCTGCTGTGACAGATTGGGTAGGACTGAAGACATGTTCCGAAATTTAGCTATCGATTGTCTTGGATTCTCTTTATGAAAGCTTTGGACAGTAATGCTCAGAGATAAGTTTAGAAATCTATCGCTTAGTAGGGCTGATGTAATCTGCTCCAGAAGGAGCAATAAACTGATAGATCTACATTGGTTTGATCCAAAACAGCACTTGGTCTGAAACTTTGAAAGTAATTCAGTCTTTGTTAACATACACTCAATGACTGAGCAAATTTTAGTCTTTGATACCAGCAACTGAATAATACAAATCCTTATGAATAAGCGTTCCATATGGTGAATAAGTTCGTGACTTTCTGGACTCAGCAGTTTAGTGGATAATGAGCTGGTGTTAGATACTGGAACAAGGTCTCAATATGCACATTAAAAGTGGGATGCAGGTACATCCAACTAACGGGTCCCAGATATGGTGAGACGCAAGCTCTGAGTTTCAATGTCAGCCACAATCCAAATATACTGGAAACTTTTAACTAAATGTCAATACTGATACATCAACTCGGGATGCGCATATGCCGACAAATACTGGTCAAACTTTAATCTTCAACATTGTAAACTGGATAATATAAAATCCTTATGAATAGATCAAACAATAAACTGTGAATTCCGTACAAGTGGTCGCCTGTTTTTGATTCTTTATGCGGTCGGACATTGATTAGTTAAGCTCCTTAGGAATTAAGTTATTGATTAGCCAAGTTTGATTGTGGTAATATTACCTGACAGTTTCGGTATTGGACCGACAACTACCTTCACAACTAATAACATTACACTCCACATTAAAGTTTTATTCGTGTCAGGGTGATGTTTTCCCTAAGCTACCATGTGAAAACGAGAGGAAGTAAGTGGATTTTAGGTATCAATCGTTGGAAAGTGGACAATATTGTTGAGGAGGTGCACCAACCTCATTGTACAAAACTGATACATTTGTTATCCTCTATTCTTAACCTCACGTAACTCTTAACGGTAATTTCGAAATAACACATGAAGAATAAATGTTTATATAAGAGAATTATAAACTTGACCAAACATTTCGTTTTTACTTACCAACAGATATTTTTTATGACTTCAGGAAATGAACTTTTTAGTGAAATGAAAAACCGACTAAAATTAAGATCAACTGGACATTCAGATACTAAAGAATCGCCTTCGGAAATGTTGACGAACAATGCAGTTGAACAGCAGGAACCATCTTCATATGACAATACTTCTTCTAGCATGTCAGCGAACTCCAGTCCCAGATCACCAATATATGCTGATTTTGAACAATCTGAGTCGAAAACAGTATCAGATATTTTATTGGTGAGCTGTTTATTATCTATTGGTGACTTATAAGTTTCCACTTGTAATCCTAAACTATATAAACTTCCATTATGTAACCATTTCTCACCTAACTTTCTGTCGAGAAAGTTTTTCTGATCTTTTGGAGAATTCAAAGTACATGAATCATCGGTCGTACACTACGGTATCAATTTCTACTAAATAATTAAAGAAACTGTTTCCAGATTGAGGTTTACAAATGGATAAATATTTATAAATAATGGGGATAAAAGTGTAAGATCTACAAGTGGGAAGTATAGTGTTTCACGTATCTTATATGACACCCAGTATTATCTAACATCATGTTAAGGTTTTTTCTTTATGTTAACAGACAGACATCATTTTCAATGGAAATAGCATTAGGACAATAATCGTATATTTTATGAGTGCGCAAAGACGCTACGATTTTGTTTTCGTTATAGGGACCTTGTCTGAGTTTTGAGTAGGTTGATGGATATAGTGTGATAGTTCCTATGTAACGAACTGATATCAAATTTGTTCATCTTTTGATTTATTTTGATTTGATGTGAAGCAAGATGTTTCATATTATTAATGAGAGATTACTGTATTTCCGCATAACCTGCAGTTTTAATTTATCACACACAGAGGAGGTTTTTCACTGTTTTACAAATAATAAATAAGGATAAGAGGCAGAATATGAGTGTAAGCAACCAGTCTTAACACAAAGTCATGACATGACGAATCCGACGGTATTGAATAACACTTACACATGACTATTTGCTGTTACACAAAAGATTAACTATTCACCTGTCCTTTTTATCGGCGTTTTCCTATTCTTATCTATGAGTAATCAATGCGCACTTTTCATAAGTATATTAACAAACAACTCAGCGACATATCGAGTCCCTAAGTTCGTCAGTTGCCGCATTTGAAGTTCATCACAGTTTTATGCGAATTTCGATTTCGGTCGTGTATGAAATTTATATTCTACACTTTTCAGTAAGCTTAATAAAATAACAACTTTATTATTGCATACTGAGTAATTGATTTTTCACTGCCTACTCATCAAAAGAAGAATTTCAGCAACGTTTGTTGTCAACAGGAAGAACAGAGTTTTCGAGATGAATCGACTTTTTGATAGTCCTATTCATAAGTCTATTTAAGATATACCACCATTGGAAACACTGGACGGCCGTTTCGTCATAGTACGGGACTCTCCAGCAGTGTGCCTCCACAATCCCAACCACGAGACTCGAGCCCAGGACCTCCAGTCTCGCGCGAAAATGTTCAACCTCTAGACCATTGAGTCGGCACCCGACAGTGTTAGTGTCTAACTTCGATCAATTCATGATGTTGTGCACACTTCATCCATTGTCTGAGGCGGATAAATGTCTCCACTTGACACGGATTGGACTCCACTGCTGAGAAGTCCTATATTAGGATGAAACGGCCGTTCAATGCTTCCAGGTTTTGACTGGTAGTTTAGCTTAGATGAACTCATGAATTCAACTATTAAAATTACTACAATCTTCAGAAATCCCCACTCTGATAAGAAACGATTTTTGTCCGATGTGTTTTGCTATTTAATAGTGATTCATGAAGTTTGAAGTTTTTAAATAGTTGGCAGCTGGAATTATGTTTTTATACTTAACAAAGCAACAAGGAAACTAGATAAAATAACCTCTTTCTGCTGTCTCTTGTACAATGTCGCTCTTCAGTAGGAAATTTATTCAGATATGTTCGTGGATATATATATATATATATATATATATATATATATATTGACTTGATGATTGTTGACTGTCAAAAAGCTTCTTACCTCTTATGAACTAAACCGTTTTTACATTTATACTGGAAAGTAGTGTTCCATTAATGAAGAAGCCCAAATTACCCATAACAAATCAGCGACCAATCTTCATCTGTGAAATCCTTATCCTTTATTTGGTCTATATTTGTTAAGGGAAGGAATGGTGTGAAACTCAATTTTACGTCATTTATTTCCTTCAGTTGGTTTCTTTTACAAATTTTATTAAAGCCAGAGCAACAAGTGAATTTATCTTATTTCATGGTTTCTCATCAGCTGCTTAGAACCGTATTCGTATTGAAGTGTAACATTGAGGTATGACATAATATAGGGTGTGTTGTGGATGCGGAGGAATAGACCAATAATTATCATGTTAAGTCCAATAGTGTCCTTGGTCTTTAAATGGGTATTTTCTATTTGTCGATATCTGTTCACTTGTTGTATATTGTACAAAATGTTGTTTTCTATTTTATGGTACGATGTGGTGTGCTTGATTGGTATGTAAACAAAGTATGTTTGAAATATAATGATTCATATCTCCGAGGATGTGACTTGTGTTCTGGACTCAACTGACTGGGCTAGACAGGGAAGTGAGACCAATCGAGACTCTAGGCCGTCCGTACGTGTTTATGTGTCATTGAACCGATCGATAAGTACGCTGCTCTCTAATTTTCCAGTCAAGGACACAACAATTAGCACAGGGTAAAAGACGATAGCAACTTAAATTCATAACAGGGTGAAAGACATCAGTAACATAAATAATTGGAATAATATAGATTAACAGTGATAACTATATATATATAAGGGGAGTAATTATACAGAGTCTGTAGACTGATAAGATGGATTGCGTGATAATTTTACAAAATTTGAAGAGGTACATAAGTTTTAGATCACTAGAAGACAGAGCAACGAGATGGCAATTGTCTAGGATTCGGAATTCGTAAGACAGGTTACGTTTTAATGAATAAGATTTGAATTGTTCAGATAATTTTCGAGAATTGGGTGCGTGAAAAGAATGAATGAATGGATGACTTTAGCGTACAAGAAATGGCAATTATTTTAGCAAAGATTGCATAACATAATGAACACAATAATAATAATTTCGAGTGATTCTAACCAAAATTGTGAATTTACCAAGGGGATGATAAAACTGACTAGTCCCTTTCTGAACACAAAAGTGAAGTTGGGGTTTTTTAAGCCATCGCATCTCTTAGTCCCAAGTTCTTTGAAACGTGCTCCGAAATGCGATATTACACTTTAGTACAAATACAGTTGTAAGCTGCTGATGCTAAACTACGAACTAAAATGAATTCAGAATATTCTACCTCATGGATTATTTATTTACAACATTGAAGACCAGTTACTAACTAAATTTATTATCGATTGATTTGCGAAAGGATCCATTTTTGAAACAGCCTTTTCTCATGAGCACAAGATTTTCTAGTCTTTCCCCGGAGCAAAGTTATGACCACAGTCGAAACATTATCACAAATACTAAGTGGGATAGTTGAGGTTTTACTTGAATGGTTATGGTTAGTTGTAAATAAACGGTAGTTTATTTCTCTAAGATAACTCTAGAAGTAGAGTCTATACTGTGTTTTGTCCCTCACAAAAGGCTTGTTATCCATGAACATGTATATTTTTTCTCCTGAATACATCTAGAGCTCATTTGATTTCGAAAGATTTATCTAACAATAACATTGTTACACGAATTTTACTGTAAAGAACACATTATCATTATGATTCTTACATTGGTGCATTTGTATCTACACAGAATCGTGCACGTAAACCTCCTACACGAAAACCGACCTTGAATCGTTGCTCAGATGTTCCTAATAGACAATCATTTAATACTTCTAGTACCTCAATTATATTTCATCCAAATGATAATTCCAAAATACTCGATGGTTTAACGGAATTTTTCAATCCAAACAGTTAATTGCTGTACAGGTAATTTATTTTTGACTGGTAATAATATGTAAATTATTTAAATCTAGAAAGACTTCCCATCTATTTGATTTTCATTGGTACTCAATCGTTCCCAGCTTGAAAATCACTGAGAGCATAACCAGTAATTGTTCCTAGCCCGAATTAATTATTGTTTGAAAAGTTTCCTATGTTAATCGTTGTTATTACTTTCCTGAATTGTTTTTACACTTAGTGTGGTAGGTGCTGTAGAACATAACGAATAAAGTTCTTAGTACTATCTGGATCTACAGCGAATTAGTAAAACACAGCAACTTATTACTACCATTAAAAAAAAACAATAGCAAGAAGCTTTTATAAGTTGTTCGCAGGACGGCAGAGAAAAATACTCTACTTAGTCATCCGACAAAATGCTTATTAAGATCATGGTTCTTTATCTCACCACTGAACTACACGTTTCTTACGCTTTTCCCATGTCATCAGTTAACTGACTTTGGATATTTTCAATGCTTCTCTGTTGAAATCTCAACGGATATATATTCTCGATAACATATAACTTCTTTAGATTAACGAACCCCATTAGGTATCTTCTAAAATTCCCATTTTCTTGGCCAGATAAGAAAGGAATTTACTTTTTCTCCCTACCCGAATGAAAGCTGTCGTCAGTTCATAACAATCACTTTTTTTCTGTTAGACTCATCCTATGGGTTATGGTTAGATATGAGGAAGTGGGAGTTCGAAGTTAATTTGTCTGCTAATGCAAGCCACACAGATATACAAACTACCATCGAATAACTGGTATATTTTATGAAATTTTATCATTAAGACATTTCGAACAAAAGTCTACAGAAATACTTCTTGCCGAACATTTGACTCCTCAAGCGATGTACTTTCCAACTAATGACATGTATAACTAGGTCCACTACGTCGGAATTCCAACAGCTATTGACGACGCGAAGTAAAATGACCAAATATGTAATATATTGGATAAGCTTATTTTAAGTGAGTCTCAGTGCCAAAGTAAATCCGAATAGAACGCAGAAGTACAATCCAAGGAAGCGTGTAGAATATTCTCAATCAATCCTGAGGCACACAGATAAAACTGAAGATAGAATCAATGAAATTTACCAGCTCTGAAGTCCAGAACGTGTGTTTTGTCAAACTTGAGACTAGTTAGCTGGATGTAATTTCATCCCACTGCCAGCCATATTTTATTTCATATAAACTTGTGATATAGTGACTAACCTCGCAGGATGGAAATATGCTAAATCTGACCTAAATTCAGTCAAAATATCATAAACCGGATATTCCAAATCACTGCATATCAAATTACAAACTGTAGACGTACAATTGTCAAACATTTAAAAATATGTTTAGGGGTGCATGCGACGGTGCTACTACAAGTCTAATGTTGAAATGAATAAAATAATTCTAGTGTTTTCAAATGGCAGCGTCCAATTAATAGTATTTTTAAGTTAGTCTGATATTTGTCTGTTTGTATAAAAATACATTATAGTTGGAATTTAACTGGTAATCCGTGTAGTACGATGCATTGTTAATCATTAGGGATAATTAATTAGGTTTTGTTTGTTCATACAGTGAAAACTATGCTTACTAAGATTTCCAAGAAATATATTTTTCTCTGAAATGTTCGTTTAGAGTTGAGTTAATTTGTAAACCAACTAAAAGCTTTATGAACAGAAGTTCCCTACTTCTTAAATAATAGAAAGTAAGAAGTGTGATTATTTGATTTTGAAATTTTTATACGTCACTTGTCGACATCACTGAATACAGTGAACGGATATATCGCATTTCTTGTAATAAGACCAAGCAAGACAAACTTTAAGATTTTTTATACAACCACTTTAAAAACCATCATCCACTAAATTCTGGAGACAAGTATAGGCCAAACTTATCTTCATCTTGTCTGTCGGTCACGTTGGGACTGAAAGCAGATATCAGAAGATAAAAGGACTATTTAGTTTAATTCACTTAGCATCTAACAGTTAGGTTGGTCTGTATCTAGTAAAAAAAAGCTATATGCCACTACAATTGATCAGTGGATCATTAGTGCCAGTGAAAGCTTTCCAAGTTGCATGGATTGACTTTTAATGTCAGTGAATTAGACCAGATTTAAAAATTCAGATTACACATGTACTGTTCCAGGTATAAAATGATGTGAAACAAGTATGTGCATTCTTAACTAACCATATCATAAATGAAATTTACTGAAGTAACCCATGGTGGAAAAGATTTGTAGATCACTTGGATGATGTTGAAGTTTTGTTCTCTGAACTGGATGGTTTGGTCGTGAAGCTTTCATCGTTCTTCAGAACGACATCATCAGCACAAACATCAGGTAGTAGTGAAGTGTTCGAATTTCTCCACGTGTGGTTCACAGCTTGTCCTATATACCTCAATGTTGATTGGTTCTTGTTGACCTCAAACCTGTCATTGTTTACTTCTTTGTTTTGGTTGTATCTCCTATTGGCTTGATTCTCCTGATTGGTTGATAAATTGGATCGATTTCAATGTGTTTGTTTATTGCTGATTGACTTGAGTGCCAGGCTTCTAAAAACTCTGGTGTTTTTGGAATTGCCGCTTTCCAAAATCTCCACATTTTCTCAGTCGAATGTGTCCGCAGCTGTCCGCGTGGATTGATATAAATGAGGACGTCATGGCGTTTGACTGCTAATTGTGATGTTCATGCAGGCGAAGATGAAGAGGGCGTCCGCTTTATCCGATGTAGTGTTTTCCGCAGTTGGCACAATTTATTTTGTAGATGATGTTTGGTTTGTTTTCTTTTGTCATTTCACCCTTTGGTTTGTATAGGATTGATTATAGGGATTTTGTTAGTTTGTGCGCAACACCTATTCCGAAGGTTTTCAGCAGTCTCGTCGTTCCTGATTTGCATTTTATGTATGGTAGGGTGGTCCTTTTGTTGTTTTCTGTACTTGACTTTGTTTCTGCTGATGAGTGCAACTGGTATTTTTTTATAAAGTTGATTGGGTAGCCGTTCTTTTGAAGGATAGTCTTCAAGGGTTTTTCATTTTCTTCGTGCTGTAATTGTGTTGCAGTGTGTCCTCGCCCTCTTGAACAAGGTTTGTACGTAGTTGATTTTGTGAGCTCTTGGGTTGCTGCTACTGTAGTTGAGAATTTGATCTGTGTGGGTCGGCTTCCTATACACTGGAGTCTCCAGTTTACCTGTGTCGGTTCTGGCGATTAATATATCCAAGAGTGATAGCTTGTCGTTTGACTCCTGTTCCACTGTGAACTTGATGTCATTGAAGACGTTGTTGATCAGCCTAGAGGTGTTTTCTAGCTCATCCTTTTGAAGTAATCCATTGTGTAATTGAATAAAAATAAAGAGGATTCAGCGGAGAAAATTTTATTTTCGCAGAAATCATTTACTTAGGATGTACATTCGTATTTATGGTTGTTTGGCAAACACATAAGTCTGTAGAAAGATAGCATTCAAATTTCCAAACATCAAATGGAGTTGTGTAATAATCAGGGCTTAAAGAAGAATAAGAGAATGAAAATAATTTATGGGTCAGAATTATGAATTATTATCTGTCCACTTGACAGATATGAAGAGAAACGAAAAACATAAAGGTCATAATAATAACTGAATAATAATCATAAAAATTGTTGGAGGATAATAATTTAGTGGCCCGTTATTTTGACGCCAATTAGATCGGACGATGTTATTGACGAGCTCACCACTTTATGGCCCTTATCTGACTCCAAGTCAATCGTTTGAATAATTGTTATTTGAAATATACATATTGTCAATCGTCGTATAAGATTATCGACTTAAATCATGTTAGTAAATAACGGAATTAAATGAGTTAAATACGAAAGTGAATTTCGAATGCGTGTATTTCATACAATCGCTGATCCAGACAAACGATCGAAGAAACGAAGCAAAGAAAGCAAAATGAAGAAAGCGGGGCGAGATGACACGCAATAGAGAATGCGTGTGAGCCAACTCAAATTAACCGAGCGTGAATCGATATTTATAGTCACACAAAAATAAAATACAGACATGTGACGAATAGGATAACAAATGTACACATACACTCATATAAAAACAAAGTTAATAAGCGGAATAACTCACAAGGTCAAAATATGATTTAAGAAGAATGAAAAGACTGGTCTGTTCGGAAGGTAGAATTAGCTATGTGGGCTTGACATAGCAACCGACACTACAATATAACTGATTACAGTTTAAATTTACGAAACAGTAATAAGAAATAAGACTGAAACATACCGTAGAGGGGAGTTAGGGCCAAGCAATGATGATAGGTTAGACGAATCGTTTTTGCACACAGATTTAGGGCTTGCACTAGTGAATCACCAACGCCTCAGCAGTGCATAAGTTTTTGATTCGGCCTACCTTCTATAGTGACTAAGGCCAAGAGTGGGGGCAATCGAATGTATTTGAACACGAAATTACAGAATATCTCACTAAAATCTGAGATCCATACGGTAAATAGTCGATTTGCAAAATATCAATCAATTGACACAAACCTGACTGTTCCTTTTGCAAATCTCAGTCCATCGTCTCAGACTTCACTGTTCGTGTATTTTTATATTAACTGCTTTCCGTTCCTGTTGTTTCCCTCTCGATCTTCTAGTGGATATAAGTAGCCCACACTACACTTCCATCCAGTTCCTTTGATTGCTTAGGTTATTTTGAAGGAAGACTCCTTCGGAACGACTTGTCCAAAGTTGACCAGGTTTACTGTAATGAACTGTTGATTATTATGTATTCTTCTTTTAAAAATCGCACCGAGTAATATCCTGAGATGCGCTTGGAAAGTGGTCGCTCCGTACGGCCAATGTGACCTGCTCCACAGAAGCAAGTAAATTTATGGATGTACATCGATGTGGCCCAAAGTGGAAGTTTATCCTTAACACATTCGTGAACAGTAGGCTGGTTTAAAAAGACATTCCTAAGCTTAACCGAATAAAAGGTTTTATCCAGAGAAATCCGTTTATTTCATGACTTCGGCGGCCGTATCTCCATTAAATCTGATGTTCAAAAAGTAGTTTTTTAAACTGTCGGTGCTTTTTTAGGATATTGTTGTGGTGTTAAGTTCCCATCGACAAATCGAAGTGGATAACCATTTCTGATGAGTATCTGTAGAAGTTGAAGTAGTTCATGGTTTATTGTGTCATTAGAACATGTTCACTTAGTTCTCAAAGATAAAGAGTGAATTAATTCCCTTTTTCTACCCAATGGGACTCGGCTATAGAAACTTGTATACTGATCATTCCAGGTCATTTTTTTATACATAGATCTATAAAGAAACATCTGACCTTTTCAACAAGACATCAAGAAGACGAAATTCCTCGTTCGCCTCTCCTTTCAATGAGAATAGAATTGAGTTGATGACAATTGTTGAGTCCATTCAAAATTACATTGAGGTCCATATCTTCACAAATAATGAAAGTATCATCCATATACCCTTTTTATTAATGAAATCTTCCAATTATTGGTTGACGTGTCGTATTTTCCAGATTGGGCTTGAAACAATCAGCCAAGAGGGGGCTTAGCGGTGAACGCATTGTAAATTCATCAGTTTGTCTACAGAAATCATTATTAAATCTAAATTGCACATTGAGAGTACATCGTGGAAATAGCTCTTTTAAATAATATTTTGGGATACAAATATCAAAGTTATTTTCAATATAGTCACATATAGAACATTTGTAAAGAAAGAAGCGATATCCAATGAAATCATTTTTCTGCCATTTACATTAATATTTTTGATCGAATCGACAAAATCAAAGAAATCAAGAGACTTGTATTAGCTAACCATTTAGCAATCAAATGATATGAAGAGTTATTCATGTCAATTATGGAAAGTAGGGGGATATTCTTCGAACGAACGTTTGGTAGTCCGTATAGTCTCGATATAGCGGAACCCGATGGTTTAGATGTTCATAGAGGTCACAACTAATAATAAACTCATCTTCCCTAGGATTTTAGTTAACATCTGTTCAGTTTTCTCAGTCGCATCTTTTGAGTGATTTCGCTAGAGAATTTGACACCATCCGATAATATTGAGGATAGTTTGGTAAAATAGTCATGACGATCCATGAGGAAAATACCCTTACTCTCATCTGGGAGACATAGCACTGAAATCTGATTTATCAGAGGATCAAATAATCGAGACTTATGTCCTTTTGTGAGTAATCGTCTAGTTGTAGCTAATGTGTTTGCATATTAATTACAACAGTCTACAGTAACTGTAAATACGAATGTACAACTTAAGTAAATGATTTCACCGAAAAGAAATCTTCGCTCAATGCTCTTTAGTTTTATTCAACAAAACTTACGTTAGGATTGTTAAAGTAGAGTTTTCACCCAGCAGTTAATCAAATAACTTTACATCCAGGTAACCAGATGATGTAAGTTGCAAAGCTTTTTGCGTATGGAGTACACGAGAGTAGTTTTACAATCGTATGTATATTAACTGTATTTGGTAAAAAATATATAAATATCTGTTTCGTGTGAATAATAATTTCTTTTTATTTCTTAGACAAATGTTGATGTTTATCATTTTTTCTATCAGACTGGATGCTCCGACAACTATGTGTTCAACCCTTCTCATAATGAGCTGTGAACCTCGATGACACATCTTATTTTCTTGAATCTATCTAATTAGTTATGTAACAAGACAACACAGCGATACCAGCTGCTTGACCACTTGATTTAAACTTGTAAAGTAACACAATATATTTCCTTTTGCATCTATTCCCATAGAATAAATAAAAATATGCAACACCCCAGTAGTATTAAAACATTCTGTTTTGTCCTATATATTATTAGACTTATAATCTTTCCCCTTGTCTATTTTTGTTTCGATATTTTACATGGTACCAGATTAAACTGTTGTAAACACTGACGTTGTGATTAAATTCATTTGTATAATGTTTTGTTAGTTTACTCATCACCTTTAGATAGTTATCTAATCAGTAGGGGCGAGAGATTGGAATAATACCATCAATTGTTCTCTTATGCAGTTGTTTTTCCTGTCACTAGAGAAATAAAAAAGATACGATATAATCCATCTCTATATATTCATAGTTTTAATGAACAGACTATGCATCTCTGCAGACATTTCATGTAGATAAGTCTGATACTCGCATGTTACCAGCATCTCACCAACAAGATAGCTTGGAATTCGAGACTTCTATTGAGGCCAAATTGAGTAAAATATTGAGCCTCTGGTTAGTTTCTGCAGTGATCTATCTTCACAACTTGTCTTTTTCAACAAGACATAAAAGTTACTTCATCTTAAGAGCAAATTATAACCAAGTTTTGAATGGTATAGACTGCTGATTTCCATTTGATAAAGGAACGATATATCCAAAGATACTAGTATTTGTCAGTGCTTTGAATATTTTAATCTTTTAAAACTTCGTTGATTACACACAAATCAATAATCTCTCCCATATAATCATGTTTCGAAATTATATCCTATATGTTCATCGGCTCCATTCATTAAAAACTATAAGAATTAGTTGTTTTACTTTTTTTAAATTAAAATGTTTGAAATCGTTTGTATGCCGACCCCAATGGCCCACTTACCTTGAAACTTATAGAATCTAAACTTGATCCCTGGCTGAGTCGTTTTTATCGTACAGGTGGACACAGGACGTGGTGAGTCTCGGTCTACATCCTAACCGGTCTCTTACCATACAGTAAGTGCCATATGAACGATGGATTCTTATTAACCAATTCCTATTGTTCTGATATATGAAACAACATGATTAACTGGAAAGAATTCCCATTTTCACTGGTGAAACAAGTCCCGTATTTCTCACTTTTGACTCACTACTAAAAAAAGGAAGTTTCTGGATATTCATGTTTAACCACAAAAAAATTCATGGACTGCTGAGATGTACTATGCTATAACCCAACATTTATTCAGTGCTACTAGGTTTTCAATGTTACTTTAACTGGAATTAATCTGTGATGTAAAAATCTAACAAGTTGAACGTCTATTCCAATATTCGTTCTACAACAACTTTCGTTATCCTAATTTTGCAATGACATAACAAGAAAAAATGAAATTGGTACAATACATTCTTCTACCATAGTCTTAATATCTCGCAATTCCCTTCTTTCTTCTCTCACAGACATCTGCTCTCTACTTATCTTCTCTATAGACCTTAAGGCAAAGCTAATTTGTTTTTGTTTCTATGATCCTTATCACGTTGAGCATTCCCTTTCCAATTATAGTTCTTTGTTTATCTTCAGAATGAACCTTGGGGCTATCAAAAACAGCATTTTCGTCGGTTTCCTTAGTAAAAATAATGTTTTCATGCCTTTATATATTTTACGTCACTGTTACTGTTAAGTTAGTCAGAAATCTCCGTCAATATTGTCATCTCATCCGACTTATATTTTGTGTATCGCTTTGTACTACTTCTTCATATTCAATAAACAGTTCTATTTTTAATAATTTCTAGGCGTATGATATAATGGAAGTTTGTCATGCAATATCCTAAATTATTTACATACACTTATTAAATTTACTATATTTATTGTTAACTCCTCCTGTAGCTCTTCTAGGGCTACTGCCCACCCCAAGCCCACATAAAGGAGGGGGGTTGGGGATGGGGTCGGTAACACCATCCCGTAGAAAACTGGAGAAACAGCATTACAAAGGTTGAATACAGCCTTTCTACGAGATATTGAAAAACTCAACCAATTCAAGATAAATCTCGGTATCAGGTTCCACACCTTACAGGATCTACTGACAGAAGAAACTACTATAGAGGACAACTGGAAAGGGATCAAAGAAGCACTAACTTCAACGTGTCAGGAGGTGCTGGGCCGCAAGAAGCATCATCATAAGGAATAGATCTCTATCGAAACCCTCGACAAAATTCAAAAAAGAAAGAACAGGAGGACATCAACTAACAACAACTGGACCAGAACAGAGAAAGTCAAGGCACAAGCTGAATACACAGAGGCGAACAAGCAAGTTAACAGAAGCATTAGAGCCGACAAGCAGAAATATGTGGAAGAGCTAGCAACGACAGCGAAAAAGCTGCAAGAGAAAGAAATATGAAACAACTATATGACACGACGAAGAAACGATGAAATCAGAGATTGGTCAAGAACAAGGAAGGCAGGACAATCACTGAGATTCAAGAACAGAAGGGTGGAACACTTCGAGGAACTCTTGAATAGACCGGTTTCATTGAATCTGTAGTGGCATTGGGCCCTAACCACACGACCTTTGAAGCCGAGGGTATAATTACTGAAAAGATTTATATTCAACAATTGACACGAAGAGAAGGTTAACGATGGAGAACGCGGGAACATTCGTTCATTCAATCAGATGGCATGGCCCAGCCTTGCAGATGTGATCAGTCTGCATAACTTGTCTTTACTCACATTAAATATATTATTCTATCTTTAGCCCAAAAGTGTTCTTCAAAAGCACTAGACGTTATGCTGCTGATTCCTGCGGTACGACAAGTCAGTGAAGGTAATGATGAGGATTCCACGGAAGATATCATAGATTAGGTAGTCACATCATGAAAAATCTACAATTTTAGGATTAGGTCTATCATTATAGCAGTACTAATAGCGAACTAGACCATAATCCCACAAATCTACCGGATATCGAAGCAGCACCTACAGATCTTTTTATACATATCACTCCACCAACGATAGAAGAAATCAGGATGGCCATCAGACAAATCAAGAGTGAGAAAGCAGAAGGACCTGACAATTATTTATTACATATTTATTTGAACACATAAATATTGGTACAACGGGGCACCGAATACATATGCCCCACACAAGTCACTTGGTTTGTGTGTGGTGCCCCAACCGAGGCAGGACCTGACAATATACCAGCCGAAGCACTAAAGTCAGACATCGGAATAACTGCAAACATGTTCCACGTTCTATTAAGGAAGATTTGAGAAGAACAATAAGTGCTGACAGACTAGAAAGAATATTTCATCAAGATACCAAACAAAGGAGATCTGAGCAGATGTGAGAACTACAGAGGAACCACACTACTATCAGTACCAGGCAAAGTTACTAACAGAGTGTTGCTGAACCGGATAAAAGATTCAGTAGACACCCAACTTCGAGATCAACAGACTGGATTCTGTGAGGATCGGCCGTGCACAGACCAAATCGCGTCACTACGGATCATCGTCGAACAATCAATTTGATGGAATTCGTCACTATACATCAACTTCCTTGATTATGAGAAAACATTTGACAGTGTGGATAGGAGAACCTTATGAAAACACCTTCGACACTATGGTGAACCCGAGAAGATCGTCAACATCACCCGGAATTCATACGACGGACTACACTGCAATGTGGTGCATGGAGGACAGCTGATAAATGCATTTCAAGTGAGGAACGGAGTCAGAAAAGGCTGCTTGCTGCCTCCCTTCCTCTTTCTTCTGGTAGTTGACTGGATTGTGAAGAGCTCGACATCAGGTGGGAAACACGGAATAAAATGGACAGGTTGGGTGGAACTAGACGATTTGGATTTCGTAGATGACCTGGTTCTTCTGTCCTATGCACAAGAACAAATGCAGATGGAGACAACTAGTGTGGCAGCAGCCTCTGCATCACCGTACACAAGGGGAAAAGCAGGATCCTTAAATATAACACAGAGAACACCAACTCAACCTCACTTGGTTGAGAATCTCTGGAAGATGTGGAAACATTTACGTATCTGGGAAGCAGCATCGATGGACGAGGAGGATCTGATGCAGACATAAATGGGAGGATTGGAAAAGCAAGGGCCGCATCTCTTCAATTGAAGAACATATGGAACTCAAAACAACTTTCAACCAATATCGAAGTCAGAATCTTCAACAAGAACGTCAAGGCAGTCCTAGTGTATGAAGCTGAGACGTGAACTACTACAACCATTATCAAAAAGATACAAGTATTTGTAAACAGTTGTCTACGCAAGATAATCAGTTTCTGTTGACCGGATACCATCAGCAACAGTCTACTGTGGGAGAGAACAAACCAGGTTCTATCTGAAGAGGAAATTAGAAAAAGATTGGATATGCATTGAGGAAATCACCAAATTGCATCACAAGGGAATCGTGAAGGGAAACGGAGCAAAGGAAGACCAAAGAACATACTACGTCGGGAATCGGAAGCAGACATCAAAAGAATGAGTAGCAACTGGGAAGGACTGTCCAGGATAGAGTTGGATGGAGAATGTGAGCGGGCAGCCTATGCTCCTCTATGAGTAATCGGCGGAAGTTGTATGTATTAAATTTTTCCCTCGTTTTACCCAAACTACTTATATCCACATTGTTTTATCATCCGAGTTTTTCCGACCAATTTGCTTTGCATCTTATTAGCTCCCTCTCTCCTACTAATGTAAAATGGAGCAATTATGGAAGTCAGCCAGTCAGCTACAACGTAGGACCAGGCACATATGTGCATCGGTCCAGGTTGCCATACCGCATCAGCACAACAAGATGAACACCGGATTCATAGCAGTGGTTATGTCAAAGGCGGTAATAAATAAGAGGAAGATTGCATATAGAGATATAGTACAAGAAGAAAGAATTGGTTCGTAGAAAGAAAGATATGAAGTGATTTTAATCTCTTAGTTTAAGGGAAGACAGGGAGTGTATACACCGACGCCATTGTGATCGATTCTGAGCCATGTCACCAAGAGTCTCCAACCATTGGTTACGAAAGTCACGCGGACCCCAACCAAGTAGTCTGCATCTACCAACATGGCTCAGACTAGAGGTTAGTGTCTTCAAGCACTGATGCCACGTTTTGGTTTGGCCGCCCCTAACTTTCTTCCAACCACCTCCAACACCGGTTAGCATTGCACGTCGTGGTAATCGGTGTTCAGGCATACGTAATACGTGGCCCAACCATTTCAGTCGATGAAGATTCATAACCTCATCAACTGATTTACCATCATTTCCTAATACCCTGCGTCTAACCTCACTATTACTTATCCGGTGATCCCAGCAGACGCCAGTAATATTTCT